CCATTTTCCATTTCACAAGAATCAAGTATTTATGCAATGAATATTTTATGGCTCTGAAAACGCATATAAATTCAAGCGTGTAGTTCACGAACACAGTTGTACGTGGCACAATACAACTCAAATTCAAATATTTCGTAAAATATACATTCCATTTTCAGTTTCACGAATAAGTTGAATTCGAGCTACTTTAAAATTCTATTAATAAACGTTGAGAAAACAATACAAAAATTGTAAACGGGAACAGCTGCCGCGTTCTAAAAATTTCAGTTTGCAGCAAATTAAGGGAATTTTAAATTTATATTACTGCGAAATGCAAATTGAGTTTCGGATAAAATCTTATTGTTCCCATTCTAAATTGCTATTCAGTATCCCATTATCCACGAATTCTTCAATAGTTTATAAACCTAATTTGCTTTCTTCGGCGGGGTTGCATGTCTGACCGAGTTCGTGCTTTTGACAAGAATTGGATCATGAAATTTATGACCACTCGACTATTATATCGCGTTTTCTTTTTTTTTTTAGGAGAAATTTCACCGTCAACTGAGCATATTGTGCAGTACAATGGTCCCTTAGAGAACGATCAGTAGCACTTTAAAAGATGGGGATAATATACGACGCGTTCTTGGCGTAAGGATTGTTACACATTGAATTAGAAAAGGTTTTCAGTATTTTTGTTAGCGTTTTTATGACAATTGTACAGGAATCAGAATGTACACATAAAATTTCATTTCAGCATACCAGACAGCGTGTTCTCTAATGTATGGAGATTGATGGCGCCCTTTTTGATGAAAAACGTTAGTCTGAATTCATGTAGAAGGAAAGATGTCTTTCATTAACTACGTGAGCAACAGGGCAGCGTCGACATTCTACCCCAACAAACCCTCACACCTCTCTTTTCAATTTCAAGTTAAAATGAACTGCAAGCATTTTAATTAATTTTGAATTCCTACGTTTTTAGGTTACAATAATTGAGCAGTTCGCTTAGTGTACGACATCTTACTTCCAACCCATTACCATGCATTTTGGTTCTTACAAGCCTAGGGAAGCTTCCACCATTCATTCGCATTATTATGCGCAACTTTTGCTATTGATTATGGAAAAAAATTAAAGTGAATTAGAATTTTCGATACCTATTACATAATTTTATTTTATAGCAGATGTTAAATTGTCATTTTAATAGGTTTCAATGAATAGGCTAAAGCACCTTTCGACATTGTAGCAAAAGGGTTTAATTTTTTACAAAATGGCGATAACAGCTATAGATACAATTTAGTGGGAATATATTGAAAGGGGGAAGGAAATGTGGTAATATTAATGTAGACAACAAATTGTTCACTAACTATGAAGCAGTTAGCTAGACGTTCTTCCTTTTAACTGTCCCTGTTTGTTGCAATACAGGGGTTAAAAACCCTTGATCGTACTAATTGAAATAGACTTTCTATTGCAATAACGAATTTTCTCTAAAAGATAAATTTGATCGACTGCTGGCGTAAGAAACAAATTCTAATGCTTTCGCCGTACGGAAATTTGGCTCCACCTTTTATCCTGGTTACGATTTTTCTGACACTTCTTTAGCTTGGTGCCTACTAAGGTTGGTATATGGGGTTAAATAGACATTGGTTTACAGAACCCAAAGTTGGAGACTCAATGGCCCCACTGACATAATATAATAACCTCCTTATTATAATAGATTTGGTTCGGCCTAGGTCTGATTTTTACAGAACCAAAATTAAAGGCACCACTTTACACTCATATAAAATGCTTATTGGGTCTCTTTCTAGCTTATAATAAGTCAGACCCGCAATCATTTTTGTCCATACCTGTACATATATAGAAGTCAGTTAATGAACAATATTGCACCACTGTAACTTTACAGTTGAGTGTTTATGACCGAAGGCTTTCTTTACAAAACTAAATGAATGTCCACTCCTTAAGAACGCTTGCTAGAAACGTAAATTCTTTGCTTTTTATTGCTTAAGTCGCATAACCATCAAATTCTGTGTATTAATCACAACCTACAATATCTAAATTATGGGCTTCGAAACCGTGAACGTCGATATTCTTTTTCTTAGAGAAAAAAACTGGTTTACATTCAAATGCGGAAGGGACTGCTATGCATATTACCAATATGGGACATCTAAAATTAAAATGACCACGAAACGTTCACGTTTCGATTATTACATCTAGTTAAAGATTTTTATCGCTTCATTTCTATCAAGCAGGATCACTTCATTACTTTTTTTCTTAAAGAGAACCGATAGTTTTTTGAATGCAAATAAAAAAGAATTGCGTTACCTTAATTTTAGCGTTTTTCGAAATCGATAGCTTTCCTATGGTACAAATTAGTACTGCCTTTTTCAAAGGTGCACGTTACCACTGATTTTAGTCAGTGAAAATGTAAGCTATTCCTGCAGTAGAGGTCATTCGATTGTTGTAGGATTCTTTTATAATAGTTCTTTGTTTCGCTGCCAGAGGTCGTGCATATGTTTTCCAGTCTTCTAAGTCCATCCCGTCTTCACTTTGATCTTGTTTGACGTATTTTGTTTCGTTCCTTTCGCGCAGAGCCTTGGTTAAATGAAAATTGTTCTGATACGCCATTACCTTTTACTTGACTTAGTGTCTACCTAAATAAGGGCTTATGGTATTGGCTATCACCATATTTCTTTCGAGTGTTTTTTCTTTGTTTCTGATGGGTTGTAGCTGGGCTCCATTGAATAACGCTTTGCGGATTTGCATTTGGAAGTAATTAGTGTGAAGTATGTCAAGATTATTCTTAGTGCGTATTTTTTAGGGCTATATTTTCTTTCAAAGTTTCCTCAAAGTTTCACATAGTTTTCTCTTTTCGTCGTTTTCTCCTTTGGATTACTTTTTCGTTATTATCTATCTGGATACGACTACGTCAACATTCATTGTGAAATATCTACGTCGAATTTTACTACCACACCTTGAAAAATTCCGCCATCTTGTGAAATCAACACTTGCATGGAATTATATACCGGGTGAATATTTTAAAATCGAACATATGGAATTAACACGGTTTTTTTGCAGATCGTTGCTCCTCATGTTAACTTAGAGGGTTTATAATGGCACCAATCGAAAGAAGATTTCTTCCCATCTAATGATGTACGAATTAGTTAATCTACAGTTTTATGTTTCCGTATTTTATCAAAAATCGACAATAAATCCAATTTTGAAAAATCATGTTAAGCCATGGAAATTTCCTAAAGAATTGAAATAGGTTTTGAACAGGCGGAATGGGAAGCTCATAAACTGAAACAAATATCACGTACTAGAGTAACTATTCCCGCTGTAAACGTGGTTTATTATAAATACTTTTTCCTCAGTCGACTGCCTTTTACAATAGTTATTTACATAAAAGTCAGAAAAATGATACATTACTGGCGAGGAAATATTGAAGTGCGAGGCCCCTTTGGGGCCGAGTACTCTATTACCCTAATAATCCCACCATCAAGGATACTATATAATATAAAGGATTGCTCGATCACTGAATTTTTTCGCCGCGTGTAGTGACGTCACTCGCGGACCCAGTACCAGCGCATGCTTTGATTAAGGCCGATTCCCATTATAGCGAGCAGCGCGGCGCGGTGAAAAGCTGCTCTCAATTGTTCGCATGTAAATAAGTAGATCCGTTTTCACTTAGGCAGAGCAGAGTGGCGCGGTGCAGCGCAGCAAATTTTAAACGCGTCGGGAAGCATTGGAATACGCGGCTCTGCTTTGAAACGCGCCGGCCTGCGTGTAGACGGACAAGTGGGAATCGAGGAGCGAAGCAGATCAGCGTGGTGCTGCGGCTTGTGAAAAGCATTTATTTGTCTTCTGTGTTGAGTTTGCGTGTGTTAGTGGATTCGCTATGAACGGACAAAGAATAGAAAAATTAATTGTACTCGTCCGCTTTCTTTTTCTTCTTTTCCGTCGTGTACATGGCATAGTGCCGCTATAAATATTGTGAAATCATCTGGTGATGTTGACGATGATGGCTCTTCTTCGAGCGTGTAAGAATACATTCTCCCTTAAACTGAACACAAACAGAAACGCTGCTTCGTCACGCTTCCAAATGGTGCTTAAGTGGGAATACCCCTCTACAATTTGCTGCTCTGCGCCGCGCCGCTCGGTGCTGCTCTAATGAGAATCGACCTTTAGGATTACCATAAAATACGTTCAAATGGGTGTTGTAGACAGGCATTTAAATTAGAAACACTTGTCCATTAATCTCGCTTGCAGCACCATATCCATTCCTTGCGTATTCATCCATCGGTTTTAGGGAAGTTATGGTAAATGACTTCCGGGTTAGTGATTTTTGTGCAAACACGGCTGTTGTTACAGTCTAATATTGCACATCGGCGTCCTGGTGTCCATTCAAATACGTTCACAACTTAACAAATTATAACTGTCAATTCTGACAGCCAGGTCCGTTGGTGACGTCACATATGACTTAAACTTGGGCAACATTACAAGTATAGGGATCGAGCAATCCTTATATTATATAGTATCCTTGTCCCACCATATACTGATATTTTGTTTTCAGTACCGTACCTTAATTTAAGGTATTTACTTACAGGAAGGCAAATTCTACTCCTTAAAAGCACCTCTCCTAATGATATATCCAGATTGGACCGACAAATAATAATCCACGATTAACCTATCCCGTGTGAAGTAAGAGTAATTTATTATAACGAAATATGCGTGACACTTGCGCCAACTCAGAATATGAGAATTTCTTTATCCCAGTTGATCTTCCCGTTACAAATAGATTTAAAAACATTATACCTGTCCAACAACAATAAATTTGTATTTTTGGCTGTTCACATGTATCTGTAAGGTCTGCCGGTTTTGGCGAAACGTAGAACGATAATTCAATGGTAGAACCATACACGTGGATAATCCCATTGGCTTATGCCGTACAATAATTTTGCACGTTATCGGCTTAGTTACCGAGGTATTAACTAGTAAGAACCATAAGCTATTGCTCCAGTGATTACTTTATGGTTTTCCCAATCTCTAGAGTCTAGTGGCTAATTAGGTAGTGCTTATTGGTATAAAATAAAGGTCGCGGCACCTAAAATTATTTTATCCTTCTCGAGCGAATATGTCTAGACTTCTTTGTCTGGTAAGTCATCACGCATCTAGGTACTCAGAAGCACAACCTAATTTATTTATCTTTCAGCTTTTCTTCATTCAATTATTTGCTTTCTACAGGTAAACGCAGCGTCATTAAATCAATTGCCTAATACCGACCTATATTCTCTCATTTTTATTCTTCTGCTGTTGTTATTAAAGGTATGAGTTTATGCATTATTTATAAGTTAAGGGAATATTAGGTGGTATTAGGTACACGTGCAACATGATCAAATTGGTTTATTCTCCTTGGAATGCTAAAGCACTCGACCTTGTCTCGTGGTTTAAACATTCCTTGTTGAATATAAGCCAGTTCAATTTTTTGATAGAAAGCGAGTATTTATCTTAGCTGTGTTCCATTGAACCAAGAGAGTAAAACAATGCCACAATGTACACAATTACAAGACCCAGTAGGTTGTGGCTCAGACGATCCATGTGAAAACCACGTGTGCCCTACGGATCAATCGTGCAATATTGTATACCACATTTGCTATGCTGGAGCCGTTTGTAGAAATCGAGGACCAATTTGTGAGTATAAATCAAATAGTAGCAATGGGCAAGGAGGAAACGTGAAATGTTTTTCTTAAAGGTGTGTAAGCCTCCAAGTCTACCTAGTCAAATAGAGTTGAATATGGGTTAACTTTATCTAACAGCAAGATAGTTTGATACCTTACTCTAGTTTATTTACAATATATATGCAGATTATGAATGATAATAATAAATAACTATTTCTGTACCACTTTGCTTTTTCTACGTCTACGCCCCTTACCGTTTGGGAGGGATTTGACAACTACAAAGCATAGACTTCTTTAGGGATCTGTTATGGCAGGTTTCTACGTCATTGAAATTTGATTGTGAACATTCCAATATAAAGAAATATACTATATACTATACTATACATATACTATACGATTACCACTTTCAATAAAATATTTTTTACGCACTTTGTTAAGAGAACCGATCGTTATTTTAACACAAATCAAGAAAAAAACTTTTGCTGTTGATAGCACAGATACCACCCGCACACTTGCGCATTATACGCGTTTTTCCCAGCTCTTTCTTTTATGTTAGCTTATCTTGTTTTTCATTACTCCACTAAACACTGACGCTTATTTTTTCTATCGAGGAGGTCTAATAGGTCATTTTGGGCACTTCGGCAATATGTTTCGCGCTTTCTTTTAATGAAGATCTGTTTTTGGTCTAGTTCGGTCTATCCAAGATAATGTTGTTGCATCACCCAATCAGCAGAATAATATTGCGCATTATATCTTCTAAGAAATGGAGCAACAAGGCAGTTATCAGCAAAGAAAACCAGAGATTAACTCTGAGTAGAAGTCCGCAATAAAGAGCTTGGTAATTTTTTATTGCAACTAAATGTCCTTTTTTGGTCTTAATTGCCCTGATAATTCAACTGATAATCTATGTAAAAGTATAAATTGGACTTACTTGTACACATTTACAATGAAATAAAACTGGTGGGCTCCCAAAAACAGTTATGGCAAAAATGTTCTGTTTGGTAAGTTCCTATTGCGATTTTAAGTCATTTAAAACAATACAAAATTATCTGTTCTAGCTCTTGTTCGTGCTATTTATTGGATTATACAGGTAAATACGTGCCATGTACAAAATTTCAGTTTGTAAATTATTGGTTTTAGTTGTGTACCTGTGCAAGACTCAGCAACGTTTCCGTGTGTAAATCTAACCCCCGATGGACCCTGTATCTACCTTTCAAACTTTCATTGCCAACAGTGTAGTTTTAACCAGATTTGTGTACCTCTGCAAATAGATTGTTTAATGCTTCCATGTCCAATGTTTTCTTGGGAGTGTGTGAATCTGCCCGGGATACAGAATTGATCGCCACTATGATGAATCGAGGCAGATATCTTATTTTACCGAGTTGTATTTTTGTGTAAACGGCGTTAATTAAATTCAAAAAGAATTAAAAAGACACGGCTGTATTAAAAGTTTAAAAATCTACAGTAAATGGATTACTGTGTCAGGTCGCCCAGTTTGATCCACACAACAAAAATTATATATCTCCACAATTCTGTACCACATACTCAGCTTGCCCGAATTACTTACGACTCTAAATTTATGAGGATCGGAAACACAAGTGATAAAATTTAAAAACAATTACACAAATACAAACACTTTAAATCTAAAATTAAACCATATCTATTCCCAATACTATATAAATTAAATCTCCAAAACAAATTTAACGTTAATCGAACCTCACATGCGACAAAAAACCATTTTCACAATTGCTCTTTTATGATCTTGACCTTATGCTAATGCGGACTTCTTTTTGTTGAATTCAGACATTTGAGGAACTCCTTGTTTAAAACTGTCAACGTTCTCGAGCGTAACGGAACGTCAAAACCAAATAGAATTTTCTACTTTTTTTCCACCACTCTTTTTACAAACCAGCGTTCACGCGAAACATTTCTACTTTCTTTTAAAAGGCCGATTCTCACTTTCGTGCAAAGAACCGGCCGGGCAACGGCACGGCACATACTCGGCACGGGCAAAGTTTTTTGAGTTCAATTCACACTGCGACACGCTTGCCGCAGGTAAGCAGTTTCTACGTGAGTTTCAACTGTGGAAATGTTCGAAACTTCCACGTTAATAAAAATAGGTCTAATATTAGATGATTAAGAACAAGAAAGTACATATTGCAGAAAAATAAAAATACGTTTTTGTGTATATAAAATGCATAAGAAGTATCTTTTATGACCGAAATCATTCTCTCGGACACATTCAATCAGCATCTCATCTTGTTCCGCTGAAAAAGTGTTCCTTTGCTGACCCTTCAACCTTTCTTGTACTATGAAAACTGAACTAAAGTCGGTGACCTGCACAGATTGTATTCACACTTGTCGGAACGTGCACGGTACATGCCCGGCAAATATTGTTTCAGAAGAACACCGCGTGCAAAAGCCGTAGCTTGCCGAGTCGTTGCTCGCATAGTGTGAATTACACCCCAAAAAATTCATAAGATTCAATAATATAGATATTTTGCCGAGTCGATGCCTTGCCTGTGCCGAGTACGTGCCTTGCACGAAAGTGAGAATCGACCTTAAAGATGCAAATTTTTATTGTACTTTATTAAAATACTTGTACTGTACGTAAACAAAAATTGTATCATTTATTTTCTTATCTCAACCCATTTAAACACCGAAAACACACGAAAATAAAACATAACATCATTTTTAAAGATAAGAAAGTTCTACTATACAAAAACAACGGTACCTTTATCATTTACAATATCCTATGAATTTAAATAAAAGCAATAATTTCGCATTTCTATCTAAAATGACCTACAGTATCTTTAAATTATATCACAGCACAATGCGCAAAGAATAAAATGGAATGAATATTAAAAAAATTAAATGAATTTACCAAGTGAGGTTTTATCGTAATTGTACTAACTGTCACTCCCGAAAGGATCATAGACGACATTGACGGTGTTAATTTGATTTTTTCAAGTCGTCATTTTTATAGCTAATTGGGTGGGATCTTGAGAGGAAGAGAGGCGATCCTTTCAATTAAAGAAAAATCGTCCACTAGGGTAGATCCCGAAGAACGAAATTACGCCAATAGCGAGATATCATCCCCCTCAAGCCACTACCATGTCGCTGACTAAGATATTTGAAAATTTCCACAGGACCACACCTACTACGAATTCTAAGGCCGTTCCGTGCAGATAAACCTGACCAGCTTGCAGGAGGTAGAATTAGAATCATTCTGCATCGCAGAAGCGCATGTGCAACTGCTAGTGCTGTTTTTCATTTGCTTGCGGATTGTATACTAAAACTTCGTGAATTTAATTTAAATGAGGTCAGCGGTAGGAGATTTAAACCACGAACCGGATATGCAGACATCGACAACCCGAACCGGACAGTCAACTGGCGAGATACTCAATGTATATTCATGGGCGGAATTACATTTGTTTCTCTAAAGTTACTCGTTGCATTGTTTACTAAATTTAAGCCGAGAAAAGAGACATTTTTTTGAATTTATTTATTTACTTATTTATTTATTTGGCTTTATGTTTGAGTGGGCGGGGTTTCAGCCAAGGCTGCTCTCCCAACCCAACCCAGATTTGCAAATATCCATGCCCCAACCCGGATTCGAACCAGGGACCCTTAGCACCACAGTCCAGTTTCAACTGTGACGCATCACACGGGCCGGCAATTTGGGAATTAAGTTTTTGCCCTTTTGTGATTGACTATAACAATTTGTTTGATTTTTTTGTCATAAATATATTTAATTTGAATTAACTTTTTGTAGTTTTCATGACATTTATAACTTCCTTCAATAGGGAGGAAACAGGTTATATTTCAAAAGCACGCTAACATTGAGTTATATTCGAGTATCCAATTTTGGGGGTTAATACTTTTCCAAATTATACGAACTTTTACTAGTTAATGAGATTTCAATTATGGAAAAATTGAAAAAATTCTTTCCTGTTCCTAATTCTTTTTTACTTGAGCTAGCCTGGGAAGTAAGTACGGAAGGTATGTCCGAACGTACTATCAACGAAAAAAGAAGAAAGTTATAAGAACATTTTAATATATCGAATCACACCACGAACTTATTTGTTTATAATCATTACTGCACTTTTATCTACGAAAAGAAAATACCAAGAGCCGAGAGCCGTGGCAATTCTGTTAAATACTGTAAGCTAAGAAGCTTTTTTTTCTTTCATTACTCCTATTACTTATATCTCTGTGTTGTTCATTTGTACGTATTATATAATTTATAAATTTATATATAATTTGGTTTACGTTGCGCAATTTAATTCAATTTAATTATCTTTCAATGCATTTTTACAAATACTGTATGTTTATAATATTAAACAGTTGCTCTATTATTGGAATATGTTTTCTGTTTGAGCAATAAAGTATTATTATTATTATTATTATTAAGCTCGGTGATTCTGTAAAGAAAACCGCACGTCTAAATTTCATTTTTGCAAAGATTTTCGAAAAAATTACCTATACGGTTTGCCCAGAAACGCCTAATCAAAGCCCCCTATGAAATATTATCGAAATTTAAGAGAGTTAAGGGTACATAGTTAACATTGTTAATTTGTTAATCTTCACAATTTATCACTTGTTACAAGCCAAATTAAGAGATTTTCTTAGCAAGGGATATAAATCCCACTAGGTACTATAAAATTTTAAGATTTCTTGTTCTTGTTGATTTTTTACAAAGTTATAACTTATATCCTATAATAAAAACTAAGAATAAGGATTTTATAACTGTAATTTAATTTGATTTTAGATAAAGTTGAAAACAATAAACTAAGTAAGTAAAAGATGATCAACTTTGGATCCCCTCTGCAGGCCCCGTTCCGTTTCCACGGTACATTTATATGTGTTCAATAGCATACCATATTCCGGGAGGGTTCTTAAGCTGTTACGTGCATAAAAATACTGTCAAAAATTAATTGACGGATAGGATTAATACGTATTTATTGTACGGTAATCATCATGGCACTGCAAACATTGTAGGGATTTCGTTCGAAAGTAGAGAAGAAAAAACATGTAGGTAGGTAACATCAGAGTTGACGGCGTATAGATGGGGGTATTTTGTATACGTATAGGTATGTACTTACACAGATAAACTGTTTTATTGTTATTGCTCATAATTTCATAAACGGTAGACGAATTTTTATTTTTTGTAAAAGCCCCAAATTCTAATACCTGCAATCAGGAAATAAGCAGGTGTAGTCAGTCAATTCTCTTAAACTATACACTTATACAGGTTTATGCTGATTATATTTACACAGAGCTTCCATGAGACGGGAGTCTTCCACGAATGTCATTACTTACATCTGTACAATAAAGTAAAGTTATACATAAAAGGACCCTAAGATGGAAATATTGGTAAATACTGAAGATGATGCTCGTCAAGTTTCTATACCTGGTACGTATCCGACGATGTTGAGCAAGGCTCTAATGCGATATATTTTCAGGTGTACCTTGTTGTGCCTTTGGGCATTGTTAGGTAACTTGACACAAAGAGGCCGCTCTATTTCATTAAAACGTTTAAAATTTAGATGCGGGTCGGACAAAATAATAAAGCCTATTTTGGCGTGCCGCCTCTGTGATCCCAGTCCTTTATGCCTGTACGGAGAAGATTTTGATCAGTATGGATGTCCTACTTGTAACTGCAGTGACCCATGCAAAGGTCATATATGCCTTGAAAATGAAGTATGCATTATTGAAGATCTGATCTGTACTAATCCTCCATGTGGAATAAAACCCAAATGTATGTATGCGGGCATTCTATATTAATTCTTTAGCAAATCGTATTATATTTCAGGCGTTTGCAACTTAAGATGTCCTTATGGATACGAAACCGAATGCAGTGGCTGCCAAGTTTGCAAATGTAAACATCCATGTCGGGATATAGTCTGTCCCTCTGGCCAGTACTGCGCAGTTGAATTCACGAATTGTACAAAAATTTCATGCTTTCCTACTCCCGTCTGTGAGTACATGATTTGAAATTCACTCATTGCGATAAATTACATAACCATTTTTCAGGTAAAATAATTGAAAGGTGCTTTAATGACCAGGGTATACCTATTAATTGTGCAATACTACTTCACGCATAAGAAGTACATTATTTGCTCCAAATTGCAAAGACTCGAAGTAAGGATCTAAGTATGTTGATGGGTTCCACATTTAGTGCTAATGGATTTGGTTTTGTTTGTATGTTCTGGTTTCTGGTTACAATTTCAATAGTTATTTTCTTCAGCAAAATAATGAATAAAAATGTTTGTTTCTGCCAGATGTATTTTTTCAACCAATGTTAAAACCAGTAACGTGCTATGTTGGCCAATAAACTGAACTTGGGAAAACATTTTCAGTTCGAAGGGTTAGAGATGCGCCAGTGTTTACACCCTCGACTGAGGAAGAGGTGGTAGAATTTATACAGAAATACGCCTCCACTTTCCGTATTCGTCAACCTGTCCGAAATTATGTTTCTGAGTTACCAGACACACCACCACAATTCGCAATGCATGGGAAACAAGAAGATCAAGTTGGGATTTTGAAAAGTAGGTCGTTTTGGCTTTTCTCGAGCACCAACGGATGTCATCATCATCAGTTCGTTGGTGAAGTAACGTCTCTCCTCCACTGATACGTCACAACGTACACAATTAGTTGTTCAGACATTTAATTAGACCCACTCTACAAAATCACTTGCTACCAGACTTCTTAATATTGGATTGAGATCTCTAAACGACTGCGAATGTAGCTATCGGAAGGCAATAGTTATACCTTGTTACGGATTCCAATGTATGGCGCTTAATAAAATCGATACAGGTGTATTGCGACCAATTATCTTCGCACGGAAAATCATGATTGTGCAATACTACTTCACGCATAAGAAGTACATTATTTGCTCCAAATCGCACAGACTTTTAACGCCCTCGAGCTGGGCTGGTATTGTTTAGCGGTAGGAACCTAGAGGAAGGAAACGTCCTCTAAAAATACTACATACAATAATCGTCTTAGAATCCCAAACGCAAATACCTTTAAGCTAATGAGAAGGGGTAGAAAACAATTAATACGAATAACGATAATAACAATAATTGAATTACGCCGGCTCAACCGTCAGATTTCGGATGTCTGAAAAGAAAATGCCCCAAGATAAAGAAGCGTTAGCAAAATGACGTGTACAAATTTCTATCCACTGCGAGATAAGTGCAAATCGAAACAAACCCATCTTCGAAGCCACAAATAAACGGTGAATCGACACAGATTTGAAATTTGATGGTCCATCTGGAATTTGAAATTGGGTTGTCCATCCACTGTTATTATTGTATTGTATCATAGAATCATAGTACTAACACAATATTTTGAATAATTAACATCCCAAACAATGATGAATCCATCAATACAATATTCTATTTCATGTATTCTTCCATTTCATTTGTTTATAAAATAGCAACCCCGATTTAAATTTTGTTTGTAAATGCGCCACCAACGTACCTCTCGCGATTGTGGTCTTGTGTAACCCATTTATATGGAACCACCTAAACCGTTTTCATCAATGAATTTGACTACAACCCACCCAGGTATAATGGAAGTAGAGAGGAATCTAATTTTACTTTTATTAATTACATTAATTTGGTGCCCTACCAGGTGCGCCTCTGAGCTACACTGGCACTGAGCACTCCTTCAGATTCTAAATTGCTCATCTGCGCATAGCCCACTATTGGCTTCTTAGCTGCCGGTTTATATACTACCATTGTTTAAATACTTTTACATTGTACCAGTGGTACCATTGTTACAATGCAAAAATTGGGTAGGTACTATATACAGTTTTATTTATTAAGAAGTAGACATAGGGATTTACATATAATATTGTTTATCCCTATGTCTACTTTTAAATGACAAAACTCTTCTGAAGAACGCCTAATTTTATGCAACCAAAATAACTTTCAAAACAAATAAAGATCTGGCTGTCATATTAATTAATTCAGAATATTGTTGTTTTCGCTTCTGTATTTTTAATGTCGTTCGTGTACGACGTTTTCAACTGAAGGAAAAGTTGATATTGTCCATTGGTATAGTGTCGGTAAAAGTTTAAGGAGCATAAGAGATTTATTTTCTGTTAAGCCAAAGCAAAAATGTACAAATTAATTAATATGACAGCCAGATCTTTATTTGAATTAAAAAGATATTTTGGATGTATAAAATTAGGCGCCCTTCAGAAGAAATTTTGTCATTTAAAACTAGACATAGGGAAAACAATACTTTACACGTAAATACCTATGTCTGCTTCTTCATGAATATCGGTAGAGAGTGCAATAGCAGCAAAACTACAAAACCATCAAAATATGGCAATTGTAAATACTTTAAAAACTTCATTTCCCTTGCTTAGGTTCTTACCATTTTGCACCAGCGTGTTTTATTGTTGACATAATCGAAGGTAGCGGATTTTATAACATAAAACTCAAATAAGTCAGTTATTTAATTATTGAAACGGATTACCTGATTACCCACGTCCTTATTTGTAACACAAAAACTTTCCTAATAGTAACAATATATCGTAGTAGTTCTAATTTAGTATCGATCTTCCCAAAATCCCGCATCTGTAAGTACTGGGGCATGGGGGAGGGTAGCAATGCAATGTATCAGGTATACATGTTAGACCATCCGGACATTCAACACCTACGCAAGGACCTGGTTTGCAGCTGCAGTCTGTATTAACCCCATAAGAACAGTCCCCTATACACTCACCTACAATTGCAGGAAAGTTAAATTTGGAATGGTCAAACCTAATTCCTTCGCGACCGCATGATTATTTACTTACACCTAGGAATCAACGGGCATCTAGGGTTAGAGCATAGTTCTCTATAAGAGTTGCATGTTCGATTAGGTCCACACAGAACAACAGTACATGGATCAATTTCGATTTGGTTACCTCTAAAATAGGACATTTATGAAAATAGTTGGTCGGAATACCCCTTGTCGTAGACTAACCTGCTCAAACAAATGAGTTGAATGAAGAAAATCTAGAATGAATCCCTGTTAATAATTTGACAATAAATGCCAAACACCAAAACTTACTATATAAATCATTTTGGTCATCGCTGTTTTCAAAACCGCTTGATTATGAAGAAAACCCAGTTTTTAAATACCTAAACCTTATATACCAACGAGATGTAGATAACTTCACCCACCATCGTAAAAAGTAATCCAGAGCAATTTATTTTATACATTATACACTTAGAGTGCCAAATACGCATTAAGTACATTCTGTGATCACAATTTCTACACATACAGACCGACAAACATTAATTTGTTTATATCGAATATAAAGATAATCTATGGCGCTATGTGACTCGTGTGGTGTTCATTTAATTTTTAAGATCTTTACGATACACGCGATTTCCCTAGGCATTCTTTTACATGGGCCACATCAAAGCAATAATTAGAGGATTCAGATAACTTAATTAAATGTCTGTCAAAAGTTGGTTTAGAATTTATTTATGAACACTAAAATATCCACAAAATAAGAAAAAATGTTGATCGTGAAGCGATTTGTTTGCCTTTAAAATTTGAAAAAAAAATGCCTCTCTGAAAATAAAAAAAAACCCAGTGCGCAGTCTGTCTATGCACATGTTGACTCGGGTGCCAGAGTTATAAGCTACCTAAGTTGGTTCTTTATTGCCCCTTATAATCTGAAAGTGCAAACCTGGTGCTCTAGATTGATCACCCTCCAGTAAATACTCACGTAAATTGGATTGTTAGAATACTCGTATATTAATGAAAATGATATCGTGTAACGATTTACTTTCTTCATTACGACGCAGTATTATCTTCAAAATAATGACGAAAGTGTTCTTTGAGCTTACTTTTTTTACGGCGAATCTTTGTGTTTAAGAGTTACGGGCTAGTCACGCTTTTATATTATTCCGAACGGGAGAATTTTTCCCTATGTAACAATTTTACGCTTCGATTTTTATTACTGTTTTTTTTTCTACTGCTGGGACTATGTTACAATTACGAAGACAGAGTTCAATTCCCTCTTTGGTGTCACGGGCAGCAGACAGCTACTCTGCATTGTATGGTAACGAAAATATACTGGCGCGTTAAATTAATTCGTCCTTGATTGCTACTACGGCTCTTTTTTATGCGACAGAGATACGTTTACGTTTTTACTTCTTTTTAACTGCATGTTCATTTCCTTTTTTGTGGTGTAAGTTCCAAAACAAATACGTTTCAATAATTCACATAGAGTTGACATTTTTTAACGATGAAACTCGTATTTCTTAATTTCCGTTTTAAGAAAAATATCCTCCATCACCATTTGGTTTTGTCACGACCGAAAGAATAGCAACCGCCCGCACTAACTTGATATCAGCAACCTAATTTCTTTTAACGTAATTGAGCAGCGACTTCTTTCGCGGTTTGACACGTAAAAATTAAATTACGTTTTAACTTTTCGTTTGGTACGTTGGTAAAAAGTAAAGTGGTTTGAACTTTTCATTAAGAAGTTGGTCTTTGTTGATTCACTTTTAATTGTGATTTAGATATTGAGTTTGTTCCGATTTGCACTTATCTCGGTATTGAGGATTTGAATGGGAACTTTTACACGTGGTAAGTGATACGCCATTTGCTAACGTTTTGTTATCTTGGTGCATTTTCTTTTCCGACATCCGATGTCTGACTATCGGGCCGACGTAATTTAATTATTGTTACATCGTATTCGTATTGATTGGTTTCTGCGCCCTCTCATTAACTTTAAGGTATGTGTGTTTGAGATTACGAGAGTTTTATTCAGCATTTTTAGAGGGTCCTTCCTCCGGGTATTTCCTGCTGAACAATACCAGTCAAGCTCGAGGGGTTTAAAACTGCCAGGGTATTTCCGTGCAAAGATATCAATTTATTTGGGCGCCATGGTGGTATCTTTCTGTTTTCTACACCGGATGCATATGTTTTCGATCTGGGAGTTACGGCCATAAGTAATATGCATTAGTCCCCCAGGCAGTAAATTAGTTTACCACGGCACCACGGCACCACGGAGTTGAGGTTTGTGGATTTTCTTGTTCCAGGGTCGGATTCTCTAACCGGAGAGCTCTCTATGGCGACCGAATTTTTTTTCAAGGTAAGATTGTTACGATTATACGTTTAAATACTTGTGCTTTCGGTATCGATTATTGATCGTATTTCATTTGGCTTTTGGGAACCTTTTGTTATTTATTAGATAGTCAATCAACTACTAATCGATCATTCTTGATTGGGGGTTTGGTAAAATGGAGAATTTCAATTGTAGAGTGAAGTTATTCAGAGTTGTGAGCAACGTAAGTCATAATATGGAATATCTGTGCAAATATTTTGTACTAACTTGTGTGATAGAGACAATTTTTATTTTACTATTTGATATTGGAATAAACTTGATTTGTACTGTTATTACTACCCTCCTAACGTCTCAATTTCAGACGGGGAGAGTTCAGTTAGAAAATGATCGGCGCTCAACCCCACTGGCAAGTGGTAACTGTTGGAGATCACAGTTCAGAACTCCGTTTATGTATCGGTTGGCTTTGAATAATAGAAAAATATGTTAGATTGAGTTTAGTCAATAAATAAAAATACGTTTTATTTCCATTTTGCTGTGTTCTGCTGCGATATATTCAATAGTATCGAAGTGAAGAAGATCATATGCCCAGAACGAACTACCGCCGTGGCAGATCTCAAGATTGTATTGTCTCCCTGAGCTAGTTGGCCGCTTATGAGGCAGATTTGAGACTAAGCAGCGCCATCTCTGCCTGTCGTTATAATCGTTACAACTCCACATTGCTTTACAGTTTTCATAATTTAAAATATTGCAAAAGATATATAGATACCAAATTAAATTTCGATTCCTGTCTCGTGACAATTGACAGCACCGTTTTTCCCTGTAATGCGGCAACTACCTTCAACTTTAGCAATAAACTATCACGCCCGATTACATGGCTGTTTAAATCATCCGTATACCTCGATTGTACGAATTCGTCTTGAAAATTTCATGTTACGCGATCTAAAATTCCGCGTTTGACATATGTAGTTTCGTCTTGAAAGTTCAGCGAAGAATTTTTCCTAACGTACTCCCCGAGTCAAAAAACTGAAACGAGCCCGACGCAAATTAAGGTTCTGCCACTTTTTTTTATACATGTAAGGGTATGGCAGAAAGCTCTCCCTCATGCTCCGTAAGAGCGATCTTTAGAATCGGCAACATTGTGGCGTTTTGAAACTTATCTGCTTGCTCACTCGCTTCATATCTGAAAGCGCTTCATCCTTTGGCATTTTAGTGCCGATGTCTTTCACTATGAAGCGGTACATGTATAAAATTTCCTCTAGTGGCAAATTCTTAAATTCAAAACATCTTTCTAAGCCTAAAGCGACCATCTTTTACATGTTTCATAATATTTGTTTTTCTTACCATCTGATAACGTATGTTGGTCTTGACTAGCAACCAATGTAATCGTCTTGAAGCACCGGCTGCAGATTTGGTAACTGTGATCCTAGAAAACATTTCTCGTGGATAAATCTCTTTCGTCTAGTAGCTAAGACAATGGCTACAGTAGGACCAGTGTAAGTTATGCTGTTTGGGCTCACACGTATCCGTACTCTGATTTGTTTGTCCCTCTTTTTCTTTATACAAATTGTGGTCGGAGCAAAGACACCAAGTGACCAAGAAAATAACAATTAATATGTGGAATGAAATATTATAAAGGTTTAGGAGTTAAGTCGGGAGGAAGTTAAACTAGTAGAAGTTGCTGTGATGGTCAGAAATTGATAATAGGGATAAGTTATAAATAATGGATAGTCGAATTACGTATGAAACGGAGTCAAGAGGGTAGGTATAAAACATTTCTAGAGCCCCCCCCCCCCCCCTTCTACCTATATCACATTTGAAATAAGATCCATGGCTAATCCTGTATATTTAAAAATTTACAACTTGTTACAAGATAAACAACATTTTCTTACTAAGGGATTTAAAACTGGCGCTATAAAATTCTATAATTTTATTGTGGCAAATAAAAAATTAAATGGGCGTAATTTATCTCGATCATGAGAGGAGTGTATTCTAAAACAACAAGGTAAAGTTTGGAAACCATGCCATTATTCCATTCAATTATGATATGTACTCAAAACTATTTCGAGCTGAACATGATCTCTGGTGGAATGGGCCATTGAGAACATAGCCTGACATATCACCATGGTTGGAAGTGTTAAAAATGAAATGTTTTGTAAAAGCTTTAATTTAATTGCTATTAATCTCCACAAGAGGTACACATCCTTCTTTTTTGTAAAAGCACCAAATTGAAGTACCCACAATCAGATAGTAATCAAGTAATTCAACTATACGATACACTTATCCAGTGAATGGAGTTTATGCTGATTATATTTACATTGATTTTCTGAGAAATGAAAGCTGCGGGGCACCTTACACGAAGTCATTTAGATCTGCGCAATAAAGCAAATCTGAGTAATTAAAAAATTTATTCATAAAAAGGCTTCTAAGGCAAAATAATAGCAAGTTCTGATGATGACTGGCAAGGTTTTAATCGTGGTACGTGTCCAACGTTTTTAGGAGCAAGGCACTAATAAGGTACCTATTTTCAGGTTTACTGTGTTGTCGCTTTGAGCATTGCTAGGTAAGCGGATACTAATAATTGCACATCAAATTTGGTATAACGTTTACACTTTAGATGCGCCTCACTCTCAGTATACCCCATAGATCCGTGTTTTTCCTGTCGTTTCAAACCTTCATGCCCCTACGGACCAGAACTAGATAACCAAGGATGTGTAACTTGTAATTGCTACGACCCATGTAAAGACCACATCTGCCCCAACAATGAAGTATGCATTAGAGAGGAGCTGATCTGCGCTAATCCTCCATGTGGGATAAAACGCAAATGTATGTATGCGGGCATCCCATTAATTTTTTTTGCTAATCCTATAATATTTCAGGTGTTTGCAACTTAAAATGCCCTTATGGTTACGAAACCGACTGTAGTGGATGTCAAACTTGCAAATGTATTGATCCATGTCAGGATGTAGTCTGCCCTATTGCTCAGTACTGTGCAATCGAGTATACGAATTGTACAAAAATTTCGTGTTTTCCTACTCCCGTATGTGAGTACTTGATTTCAAAGTCATTCATCATAACTACTAACATGATTATTTAGGTAAAATTCGGGAATTTCCTGTCCTCCTGGAGAAGTAGCTACTTCTACGGCAAGAACGTTTACACCTAACGCAAAACAATAATTATTTAATGCTAAATACTTACACGTTCCATGTCTACCAATTCCAGATGGTTCATTTTTCACTACTGTATTAAGCACTTACTTATTTTGTTTTCAGGTAGGTTTCCTAGTTCTAGTGTTATTAAAAACAGTTTAGGTTTTTTTGTTAACCTTTCTAGTTTAATTGCTTAAATTATATTTTCAACCAATAAAATAGTAACAAAAAACAATAAGCATTTTTTTTGGGGCAGAATAATGAATAAAATAGTTTGTTCGTGGGTTTCTTTGAAGTTGCTTAAAGTAAGGGCGTAGTGGTTCCATTCCATTCCATTACATTCATATTGTAAATGAATTCCTGTCATTGCTCGGATTACGATGTAGAAGTTAGCAATGTCATTTCAAATTTACGACTGGTACTGCGTGTTTATACCACTAGCAAATCTCGATCTACTGGCAATCCAGAAATTTACCTCTAACATGGCAACCCAATTCTAGTCTGCCTTTTTGTAAATAAAACCCTTGTTCGCTCCCCTTTTTATCCGCTTCCTCAAAATTGGTATAGATAGGGTTCTATTTCATGTATCCTTCAGTTCTTGTATGGACATGATTTGTTTGCTCCCCGATCTGAATTATTTTTTTAAGGGGTCACCAACGTACCTCTTGTGATTGTGGTTTTTTGTAAACCATCTATATGGAACCATCTCTACACTGTTTTCATCAATGAGTTTGACTACAACCCACCCAGGCATAATGGAAGCAGAGAGGAAACTAATTTAACTTCTTTTAATTCCATTAGCTGCACCTATTGGTGCGCCACTGGCTTCTCCTTCAGACACAATTAATAAAATACCTACTCGGTCTGTGATTCTTATGCGAATATCCAAACACACCTTTACACTCACAGACCCATCATGGAGCATTTCATCTTAGATCTAAATTACTCATCTGCGCATAGCCTGTTATAGCCTTCTTAGCTGCCGGTTCCTGTACTACGATTATTTAATACTTTTAAATCGTAAAAGTGGTACTTGTAGTACCATTGTTACATCTACAAATCGAGTACTATACAGGGTGTTACATGAAAGTAATGTATAAAAAAATTGGGTCCAACGTGTTTCGTTTGGGAGCCACCCTCAAAGAACTGTTGAAATTTTGATTTCTTCTTTAATTTTTTTCTCAGCAACCATAAGAGTTACAAAGATGGGCATGCCCTATCCGATTTTGACATTTTTTTTTAAATTCCTACCACGAATGGGCGCACCCCTACTTGGGGCTGCGAAAAAATTCTGATTTCGACGAAATTTGGTATTTGGGGGTTTTGACATAAAAATCACGAATCTGGAATTAGTTTTTGAAAATTCGAGGTTACGAAGTTGGTTACATTAGCCAATGTGAGGCATTCTTTTTAAGATCACAGTCGTCAAATAACAGAAAAATCATCCGTTGATAATTATCGAGATGTTCATCAAAATGAATTTTTCAAAACGAACACACTGTGTATATGGTGGAAAACAGCCGTTCAACGGAAAAATCGACCTTGCTGTGACGACTGACGAAGTTACGCTAAATTGTTTTATGCCATTAAAAATCGAACGAGTTTCTTAAACCTTATCTCTATGGCGAAATTTTGCCACAAGCTTCGTAATATTATAGTAAAACCTTGCCATTACAGTCTCTGAGTAAAACCAGTTCACGCCAGTTAATATTTTTAAGTGTTCCGAATTTGTCAAGTTTCGACTAATATTTGACGTGACTCTTTTGTGGCTTCGTACATGTGCTTATCTACTTATTCAAACTTTTATGAACGACTTAAACCTTTGTTATTTGCGTCGTCAGAAGCGAAACATTTTTAATCCAGAAATTAAGGCGATAACCAGGAAGTCATTAGACAATTTACTTGTGTTATTTGCTACCGCGGCTCATTGAATTTACACTTGTAAGATTTCATAATTCATTCGAGACCATGTTTATGACGATTTTAAAAAGCTTCCCAACCCAATGTACATAATTTTGTCCAATAGACGCAGGGAAGTATCTCTTGCATAGTAGGGGTGCCAATTTTAAACAATCGATATTTGGGATCGATATTAATCGAAAATAAAAAAATCGATTCAGGTCAAAATCTAAATCCAAAAAAATCGTTTCTAAGAAAAACGATTTTATTAAATTCTTTTGCCTTACAGCAAAAAAGTCAAAAATAACATAGAAAGGTTTGGAGAGGGTTAAACCTTTTCCAGAAGTAACTTTCGGTACTCTCCAAAATCTCCTTCGAAATTTTAAATATGTAAACTGAATTCAGTGAATCGTCGCTAACTATTTTGTACCAGCCAAAAGGAATTTTGGTTATATATTTCACAGGCCAGAATCTTATTAGACAACGTCGTACCGGGCGAGATGTGACAACTTCAGTCGATTGTAGACGATTTTTAAATCAATTTTTTAGCTACATCGGTTTTGAGATCTATTTCAAAATTTACTAGCAGTCTTTTCCTGGCTAATTTTTCTTTATTCTTTGCATTCTCTTCTTCGGTTTTTCGGTACTTGACGATTTCAACATTTTTAAAATTTGATAGTTTTTAAAGGAATCCTCTTACCCTTTGGTGTCGGTTATTACACATTTTGATAGACTCTATACGAAAACTCTTCGGTGGCTACGAGTTCAAATCGTTGTTATAATGGTTTTAGAAAAATCTGTAGTTTTGGAAAACCTTCTCAGAATGTTTCAATATCCTCTGCCATTTGCCACAGATCTTCTTGACAAACCTTATAAAACCTTTGGAGATATTCTTCTATAACAGTGTATGGAATTGTGGTTGATTAGTTTTTCAGTTTCTACGAGAACAGTCCCCCTTCTGAAGAGCCCTACCATATGTTCAGTATGTCCGTCTGATCTGTTTTCATTACTGCGGGTGGGTTACATACGCGGTCCGTGCGTGAATATCCTTCACACAAGGTGAAGTGTGCAGGTGAGCTGCAAGGGGCGTCCTCATTGTCTTGCAGTATGGAAAACAATACTTGTCACGTCATTTCTGTAATTTACTTTAAATTTATTGTCAATTAAGGAAGAGCGCATACTATCATTCCGGAGAGAAAATGTAAAAAAAAGTGTCGGTTATTATACGAATACAATCAAACCTCTCAAATCGTACAAATATCAGGTATCGAGACAAATGCAGTTGAATAAATTAATAAAAAACGTGGCACAATGAATATAAATGGTAAACAGATAAATCAATTTAGTACGGAAATGTATGGTCAATTTTACACGAAAGAATTCGTAAAATTGATTGCAAAGCTATAGTAGTTATCTCTGAACAGTTGCGGCATGGCTAATTTTACAATTTTACAAAGATGAAGTGCTTACATAAGGCGTGGTTGAAAAGGTAATTGAGGGACAATTTTCACTAGCCCACCTACTCAAACGAGGGATACAAACGACAATTGTTCCATACTATAGCGCGTTCGCACCCCCAGATGCAGATGCTTATGGACATACAGTCCATGCTTGCCAAACTTAGTAACAAACGTGATAATAACGGCACAAGGAGATTATATTGTGATTTAATGCTTCAAGTCAACCATGTCAGTTTGATATCATTGCCGTTAGGAATAAGGATGGCGTTATCGGAGAATGATGCAAATTAGCAAGAGAGGCATATAGTCCATAAGACCCCATACTGCATCTGGAGGTGCGAACGCAGTATACTTACAATTTCGGCTAACTGTTGTTGCACTTACCCTAAATTAATCAAAATTTTTTTGAAACTCACGGTTTGTCTGTTGCCTTCTGAAGGGAGATTCATCGCGTTTCACCTAACAAACCACACTTTTTTTCGAATTCGAATTAATTATTTGGGAATATCCCACTTCTGATGCAAAAATGCGATAGATATAGGGTGGAATGAGGTGGTGTAGTTACACCTTACACACCTGAACTGATTAGCTCAATACATTGCTCTCATTTTCAAGCATTTTGCTTGGATGTCAAGTACGAAGTCTCCTATGTGCGGGTCGCGCGCCTTCGCGCAACCTTGGTGAAATAAAGCTGCCTTAGCGAGTCATAGCAAAACGTGATGTTTTAATGTTTAACGAAATTCCGCTTACATATAGTACAATGCGTTCGAGATATCTCTTTTATTTGGCGAGATACGAAAAAATTGTCAAACATAGTTTTATTACGATCTATCTGATCGCATATTGAAATATGCGGTATCACTTCCGGTTTAACCGGAAATCGATGCAACTTTTGTTTTTTAAATGCAATGCCTATGTTTATCAAGATATTTGAAAAGAGTAATCTATTTTCTGTACAACGTAAAATATGTATATGGTTGATGTACAAAAAATGGAGAAATTCGTGATGCAATGTTTAGAAAATTTAAGAAACCTAGCATGCCATGCGCCATATCACACATAAAATTTATTCAATGTTACGTTTTGAAGATTTGCGTTTGCGCAATACGATCTTCCCATGTAATGCAACAAGAACCGCGCATCCTGGCGGCACACGGCATGCTAGATTTCATAATTATTGAATAACGAAATTTTCCATTTTCTTTTTTTTATATCAACCGTATGCATATTTTATGTTGTCGTAACGCAAATAATTGTTCTCTAAAATTCCACATACAGTACGTAAATTTTAACTCTGAACATACAAATCTCCTATTTGATATTGCTCACATTTATGCAACCCACCTAACAGTGGTTTTATAGTGTTTTTTCAGTTACTCATTAGCTGTGAATAGTCGAATAATAGTCGGGATAATCGACAAACATCTACCGCAACTCATACTCATGTTTTGTGCTGTTTGAGACATTCTTTGGTTGTGAACATAGATGTACTACAGTAAAAGTGCAACATGGAGAGTATAAGATGAGGGCTCCAATTTACAGAGCAAATCGTGTTGACTTGAATTAACGAGTGAAAGCGCCAACATTTATTTTTGGTTGTTTATAGCCCATATCAGGCCAGATAACTTAAATTTTAGAAATTTTTATGAGCATATACCACTATAAACCAGCTATTTTTCATTAGGTGACTTTTACACAAACACAAGGTGCTTAGCAATTGAGATTAACACCTACCACGGAATTTGTAAAGTAAATCTTTTCGTTATTGCCTTTTATTTTATATAAAAGATGAGTTCAAATGAAAATAGCATTAAACTCCGATTAAGCCATGACTGAAAAAGTTCTACACGTGGTACGTATCTTCGTTTATAGCTGCTTAGACACGGAAGCACTAATGTCAGCACCTATTTTCAGCTTTTGTTCATTCTGTCCCTGAGTGCCGTTGGGTAAGTATGCTCTTTTGTGCATCTATATTTATATTTGGACAATTTAGGAGGGCGTCCGAAAATATAATAGATCCTATAATTTGTCCAGCCTGTGTTGCCGAATTTTGTCCTTACAATGAAGCACAAGGTATTCAATGATGTCCTCCGTGTTTTTGCGATAATCCATGCAGGCACCATGTATGTCCTGAAAATGAAATAAGCGTTGGCGAGGAACTGCCGTGCCCCAGGTATCCATGTGGACAAAAATGCCGCTGTACGAACAAAGCTTTTAAATATTTTGTTACATCTTACATTATTTCAGGTGTTTGTGGATTAAAATGCCGTTACGGTTACGAAACTGAGTGTGGAGGGACACGTCAAATTTGCAAATGTCGAGATCCATGTCGTGATGTAGTGTGCCCTTTTGGTCTATTGTGTCAAGTGGAAGAGCCAAACTGCACAGAAAATCTGTGTCCAGAACCTCGCCCTGTGTGTAAGTTTAAAATGATTCAAAATCTATCAATAGCTATGTGACGATTATTCAGGTTCGAGCCTTTTACTACAATGATGACCATGGCAACAGTAATTGCTTAATGCTTCACAAGAATCATGTAACAGGCGATCAAAAATGAGTTGCGGTAGAATCGCCTTTCGAAGTTCAATTTCCCATGTAAACAAAAATTCCAGCAACTCATTTTTGATCGCATAGTATTAGGCACTGAGGCAGTAAGTCCAACCAGCCACCTTACTGATAAGACTTTATGTATAGCAAATGAATTAATAAATGTTTGATAAGAAAAACTCCTTTCTACGCGGCAAGCTTTACAAACTTATCCACTGGCTTACGTTAACAATTTTATGACGTACAATTTTGGGGATTTGTAATGTTCAACTGTTTCTTAGACAACCAAAATGTCACACTTATTTCGGAGAGCTCTGGTTTTGAATAGGTGGCGAATATTACATAATTTAAAAGTTGATCTTTTCAGCTCTAAAAACAATTTAAAGATAGTGAGGCAGAACAATAAGAAAACTGGTGCCATCCAAATAATCATTTATTTCGTTAGAAAAGCCCCCACATTTAAAAGAATCTCATTTGTCTTAAGCAATTAACTAAACTATATAATAGTTAGTCCCATGAAGGAATACCCTCTTTCGAAAATTAAGACAGTGTAATTCACGTAATCTTAATTTTTATCTTTACGCCATTAATGAGAAATTTACACAAACACAAACAGTCGCTAATTACATCATTAATATAATTAATAAAGCTGCAATGGTTATTATAAACGGGTTTATGACAATTCCCCGAAAACAATTGACCGAACAGACAATAAACCGAACGGGCAATTCGGCGAACGGACAATTCACCGAATGTACAATTTACCGAATGCACTGTTAAACTGGGCGAAAAGTATTCAGGTTCCTAAAGAACCCAATAGGTTTTAGTGGTATTGTTCAGCGTTTGTCTTTTAGTTTTTCATTTTTTTATGTGTTTGTATAGTTTAAGAGTTTATAAAATTATACTGGTTGATCTTCTAATCCCAATAAATTATTCAATGTTGGAATGCGTGCTTTTTTTAATTGAATTGAGAATTGAGTTAGAATGTTTGGGTGGTGTTTTTACCAATTGAATATCTCCATACTTTCAATTTCTTTTCCTTTCTGTTTAATTTGGTTTTCTTCTAAAGTAAAAATAAGATTCTTGTATTTATTTGTTTATTATTAGACATGCGATAGAAATAGGAATATACATTGTAGGTACATCTTATGTTAAGTATGTAGTTATAAGCTATACAAATATTGACAGATTACAAAATATTAATCAAAGTGAAATATTATGCGCAATGCCACGTAAATACTGCATTAAATTAGCAACGTCAAATGTAATCGGGAAATGCGACTTGCGAGGTCTTTATATTTTTTTAAGGCGGAGCTGGAATGCGGCCAGCAAGAAGTTGTTCTATTATTACTTCATTATAACGCTGCTCCCTTTTTATGGCATCCAAAAATTTCCAAATGGAAGAATGGTTGCAAGTTAATTGATATTCAAAGGCACGATGCCAGGCTTCTACCGAATTATTTGTTTTTGGGAGGTTCTGCTGGACGCCTTCGGAACAGTTCCACATATCAAGTTCATATCGGGGACTTCTTCGTCTGTTATTCCTGGTAGGCCGTCCTATCCATGCATCTTCAAAGTAAACAACGACATTTTGCGCTTCTTCGGGAAAGATGTCGGAATCAGTAAGTTGATTAAATGTAACATTCGCTACTGGAACAAATGCTAAAGCTGATAAGCATCGAAGTGAAGCAAAAAATAGGAATTCTTGTCATTCTTTTTGTCTTCAAAATGATTTGAAAAAATAATGTATGGTATGATTCGGTCAATTGTCTATCGGTCAATTTTGTGTTCGGTAAATTGTTTTTCGGTCAATTGTCCGTTCGGTGAAATGTCCGTTCGGGCAAATGTTTTCGGCGAATTGTTTTCGGTGAATTGTTTTCGGTCAATTGTCCGGAACCGATTATAAACACACTACAAAGCTATTCGAAGAAATGTGGAAATACCCCAGGAACTAAACAATATTTGAATTTTTGATTTAATAATTCTAAACATAACATTAATTGCTAATTGACCTGACAGTAGTTAGCCACGGTACCTACGCTTTTTGCGTAGTTTTTAGCGCATTGTTCTAAGAATTATAAAAATTTGCTTCTGCCGTTTTGAACTACTTCTAGGGAAATGGTCCTAGAGTCCTGGAATTCCTTGCAGTAGGTAGCCTTTACCTCGAAGGTGTGCCATCAAATTTCGCTGTCTTAAAGGGGGATTCACCATGAATTATTTCCTGAGATGCTGTTTTTGGAAGTAAAACGTGCATAACTTTTACATACGACAACCAATTGGTCTCAGATTTTTCATATTGCAGATGGGGGAGGGGGGTAAAAGACGTTCTACCCTTCATGGTATTCTAATGAAAGGTGTCATCGAAATAAATTGGTTTGTACAAACTATAACTTCCCGCGCGACTCTTTTTCGAGATCAGCGGGTGACGGGGCCTGAGGGGGGGGTGAAATTAATTTTATCCTTCATGGTATTCTAATTAAAGGTCTCAACGAAAGGAACAGTTTTCTATATCAACTAGTGCTGACTTTCTGACTTCTTATCATAAGAGGGGGTTGGAGGGGGGGCAGTAGGACTGGTTTTATCCTTCATTTATCCTTAATGTATACCAACCATAGCCCTCCTCCTCGACTCCTTATCGTGATCGGATACATTCCCTTATATCTCCAGAACGGAGTGTATTTACCCAACAACTCATAAATAAATAAATAAAGTTGTTGTGTAAATATATTCTAGTATTAGAAGTGCTACTTATTTAGAGAATGAATTGTAAATGAGTGAGTGTGCAATGCCTTTCAGCAACAAAAACGTTCCGTGTCTAGCTATTTTATTCCTTTTGATAACAGTACTGTCAATGTATAAACAAATTCCTTTCGAAGGAAAAGGATGTTCAGGATTTTTAAGACTAGAACATCATCTATTTATATGTCGTTACAAGAAATGCAGTTTAACCTTAACGTAAGGATGTCTTTGTATGGTCCACAGATAGAAATACGAGTAAGTATCCACACCAAAATGAAAAATGGTAATTAGTAGATCAGATTTAAACAAATTTGTAATAATTTATAACTATTACGATCAGTATGTGTTTTATAAGTACGGTCTCCCAGTTTAAATTCGAGCGACCGAAGAAAGCAAGGTTTTTAGAGTCCTGTAGTGGTATTAGGGGTCCCTTGGTACGGCAATGGACGTTTGACTTACGTTATACTTACAGTTGGCAACTTCGGAGAAAACCCACAAGCAACAAACATTCATGTCAAAATGACGTTTCGAGCCACCTTTAAATCTAAGAAAAGACAAGAACAACTGAAATATATTACGCACACAACAAGGGGACAGGAAAAACTTCATTGGACAAAAAAACCTGGTATAACATACAGAAATATAAGAAGTGAATTAACTACGACAGCACAATGCGAGAGAAAATACACAAATCAAACGTGCAGTCCGCACGAGATGAGGAAGCAGTAAGAACCAGCGAAGAATCGGAACAGTATGAGATACATCCTCCATGAAGTAAACTAACTGTTAGTCGAATCGTACAAGGTAATATCACACCAGTAATATACTTCCACGTGAATACATAAATAAATACTTAATAAAACAATATAAAGACATAATCACCTGTACAGTAAAACAAACGTGCAGATAACGGTACATATAAGAATGCCATGCTTAAATAAACAAAGAGCATTAGATGTAAAATGTAGATAATAACAAATTGTAAAACGAGATTCATAACAAAACAAAATAATTATTGAGAAATCAGACACGCCAGCACGCTACTCTCACCATTGTATTATTTCAGAGGAGATGAATTTAGTCTAGTCAAAATAAACGTAAAAATACTAAATGGTTACAAAAGGTCCGGTAGAAAATTTTATTTTTCCGACTTGTTTAAAGAGTAAAGAGAGAGAAAAAACCAAGTTTGCCAATTCGACTGACGTCGGGAAAAGTTTTTGTGGTCAACAATCTGCAAACATTTCTGACTTTTTTCGGTTTTTCTAAAATAACTCGGCAAATGGCAATACTTGAGTAAAATCATGTTTTATTCAAAATTGTAGTGTATAAAAGTACCTTTAATTTGATATTTTACTTGGCGCCCCAGCATGTATAGTTTAGGAGACCACCAATTTAAAGTTCCGTGTTTTTCTCAATTTTTGGAAATAATACCATTTTTAGCGCATGTTTAAAGAATTAAAAGAAATGTGGGATAACTAATTTGTCTCAGATTTTTCATGTACATGCCTCTACTGATTCCATGTAAAACTTTTGAAAATGGGAGGAGGGAGGAGTAAATACACGTTCTACCCTTCATGGTATTCTAACGAAAGGTCTCATTGAAATGAATTGGTTTCTACCAACTATAATCTTCCTACAGGACTCCGTTTCGACATCCGGGAGGGTTGGTTTTATCCTTCCGTGGTACTCTAACGTAGCAATTCTCGACCTTTTTGTAATCGCGACCCCCTGTTTTCTGGGTCTGATGACCGCGACCCCCTGGCCCCTAGCACTTAATCCTATTGTTAATGCCATTGAGGAACCCAGTTAAATGAACTACACGCTAAACAAAATATTTTTTATTTATTGTTAGCGAGTTGAATACATACAACAGTTATGTAATGCCCTTATACGGGGTGTCAATTTTAACTCTATGCAGTCGGCCATATTTTCCAAAAAAGATATTGAAAATCGCGCAAAACCGTTTCGGGGGTATCGAGGGTGAACCAGAATGACGTTTAGAGTGCCCCCCCCCCTAGCTATCAGTCCCCCTCTTCAGAAATCTTAAATGGCAACCCCATACGTGTGACACATCGTTGGAAAGCTACTGAAAAATGCTTTCCAGTGGTTCCAATAAAGTCAATATTCATTAAGACAATTTAACAAAAATTTAATAATTAACAAAAAAAACTAAATGTTGACATTGAGCGATCTATGTTATTGTCTTTAGCACTTCCAGATTTGATTGCTTTCTCATTTTGAAACTAAATAAATTAACCACATCACACACATAACGTTATTGGCAAATTGAAGCGATGTTCTCGACAACAGGCGTCGGAGGCGGAGTTGGAAGTCCCCGCGGTTGTAGCTGACTATGTAAGTTTTAATTACTATAAAACGCCGTTTCCGTCACAACTTTCTCATGCAC